TGAGGAAAGGAAGGCTGTGGGCATGAAGGGTCTCGGAACCCCCGAGAGATGCTGGAGGCCATGGAATGTGCCCTAGTGACCCTGGAGATCAGCAGGAGTGAGCGGCGTGACCTCCCAAGGCCACCGTTTCTCTGGCACCCAAACCCGCCAGGCCATGAGGAGAGGTGGCTCGTCAACTGCCCTAATTATGAGACACCCCCTGATGAGCCCATGCCTACTGAGCCGGACCCCACCACAACCTCCCGAGTGCACAAGTGTTGGCTCGCTGGCTGCGCTCTCCATATTGCACCCACGCCCCACTCTCCCATAGTACGGGTCAGGGTCAATGGCCGGCCAGTCTCGGCCCTGCATGATCACCCTTGCCTGCCCTTCACTCCTTGACACCCCACCTACAGAAACGGGGACCCTAGCAGTCACGTGCATGCATGGGTCTGCATGCAGAACCAGGCCGGGCGCCAAGCAAACCTCCAAGCGGTGGCAGTGGTGAAGACTGAAGACCATACGGCCGAGGGTCCGGCAGGCCTGCGGTAACCTGGGGGCCCGCAACACCTTGGAGAAACTGCGGGACCAGTTTCTCTGGCTGGAGATGGATGCAGAGGTAACAGTGTTCTGCCACCGGTGCCCTCAATGCCAACGAACCACCCCTTGTCAGCCTGCTCCCACGCACTTGATCCCTCTCCCCATTATAGGTGTCCCGTTTGAGCGGATATTCATGGATCTCGTGGGGCTGCTGCCAAAGTCTGCCCGGGGGCATGAGTACATCCTGGTCATCATGGACTATGCCACCCAATACCCCAAGGCAGTGCCACTTCGGAAGCCCACATCCCGGAACATTGCACGAGAGCTCCTCCTCCTCTTCAGCCGGGTTGGAATCCCGAAGGACATCTTCACCGACCAAGGTATGCCTTTCATGGCCAAACTAATGGCGGATCTGTGTCGGCTGTTGCAAGTGAAGCACCTGAGGATGTCCGTCTACCACCCTCAGACAGATGGGCTGGTGGAGCAACGGCGACCTCAGGGATTGTTGGACGTGGCCCAGGAGGCCTGGGAAGAGCAGCCCTCACCTTACCGCTCCCTGATCGACTATGTGCAAGAAATGCAGGAGCGAATCGACCGAGTGGCACCCATCGTCCGGGAGCACATGGAGGCTGCCCAGCAAGAGCAGAGGAGGACCTACAACTGTCCAGCCCAGCCCTGGGAGTTTCAGCCTGGAGTCCAGGTCATCCTCCTCCTTCCCAGTGCCTCCTGCAAATTCCTGGCTCACTGGCAGGGCCCATACACAGTCCTCGAGAGAGTGGGTCCTGTAAATTAACACCCAGCTCTACCATATTAACCTATTAAAGAAATGGACTGACCTGGCCCCTGTGGTGTCTGCGTTCGTGAGTCTCTCCACAGATCCGCCTGAGCATGCCATGGACCACCAAGGAGGTGAGCTCACCCCAGCCAAGAGCCAGAAGCTCTCGGAGGTGGTGGACCAGTTTGCTGTCATCTTCTCCTCCACCCCTGGCCTGACCCATCTGGTCCACCATGACATCAAGACCCCACCGGGAGTCATGGTCTGCCAGTGGCCTTATCATGTCCCAGAGACCCATCATAAGGCTATTAAGGAGGAAGTCAGCCGGATGCTTCTCAGTGGCATCATTGAAGAGTCCACCAGCCCCTGGTCCGGCCCCATCGTTGTGGTGCCCAAGCCCGATGGAAGCATCCGGCCTCTCCACACTGGGCCTCACAAAAGGATACTGGCAGGTGGCCCTGACCCAAGCCAAATACTGTGTTCTCCACCTCCAGCGGCCCCTGGCAGTACCGGGTCCTCCTCTTCAGCCTGCATGGGGCCCCTGAGACATTCCAGCGGCTTATGGACATCGTCCTGTGGCTCCACCACCAGTACGCCACCGCCTACATCAACGATGTTGTAATCCATTCTTCCACCTAGTCCGACCATCTACACCATCTTAGGGAGATCCTGGGCGAGCTCCAGAAGTCCGCGCTAACCCCCAACACCAAAAAATGTCACGTGGGGCTCACGGTGGCACAGTACATGGGACCATATCGGCAGAGGGCTACTGATGCCACAGGAGAAGAAGGAAGAAGCCGTCAGGGGCTACCCACGACCGACCATGAAGAAACAGGTATGTGCCTTTTTGGGGTTGGCCGGGAATTACAGAAGTATTGTGCCCAGTTTCTTCTCGATTGCCTCTCCCTTCTCAGATCTCACAAAGAAGGGCCAGCCGGACCGGGTGCGCTGGAGTCAGGAAGCTGAAGAAGCCTTCAAGACCCTGAAGCAGATGCTGACTTGCTCTCCCGTCCTGCGAAGCTCCGACTTTGACCTCCCCTTCACCGTGCACATGGACACGTCAGAGACAGGGCTGGGAGCCATGCTATCGCAGACCTTCGAAGGGGAGGAGCACCCAATCCTCTACGTGAGTTGGAAGCTGACCCCCTCCGAAAGAAAGTATGCCGCTGTAGAGAGAGAGACCCTGGCCATCAAGTGGGCTGTACTGCAACCTCTCCTTCAGGGACAATGACAGCCCCTCCACCCAGCACCAAGCCTGCACTACCACCCGGCACCCCACTTACCCTTCCTGCACCTGTAAATAAAGACACTTGTGCACCTTACCTTCCTCTTCTGTGGTCCTTGCTCAGCCCTCCACGCATGCTAAGCGCTACAGTCCCCTACCTGTGTGCCAAATTTCATAACTTTCTTATGTACGGTTCTATGGGAAGAAGAAGAAGAAAAAGAAGACTCACCCAAAATGGCTGACATAGGAAAATTTGATAACATTTGACTCGGTATACCCCACAGAATCTAAACAGACCAGTTTCATGATTTTACAACAAATTGATCAGAAGTTATAAGTAAAAATATGCTTTTTCCATATCTCATGAACACTGGGTGACATTGTTCCGAAACTGTGCAGCTACCCTCAGCTCATGATGGCTATGCAACATATTAAGTTTGGTCTGAATATGCTAAAGCGTTACGGAGATATAGCCTCACATCCATTTTGGTGTGCTCGCTGTTCAATTCGTTTGTGTTTTTTGAGAATGGTTTGACTAATCAACTTGAATTCCATACTTTTTTGTCGGAATGTTCTGATGATGACCTGACTCAATTTTCATGAAAATTGGATGAACAGTCTAGGAGGAGTTTGAAAAAGTAGGTTTTCAAAGCATTTCAAAATAGCGGACAGGAAGTTGAGCCGACCATGGCATAATTGGCATCATTGTTCTCAGCATGACCAAGGAAATCTAACAAGACCATTCTCATGACAATATGCACAAGTCATGATGGCTATGACATGTACTAAGTTTAGCATAATATCTGCAGACGGGCTAGAGTGCCCATGCTGACCCCTGTCCACCGCTGAAAGTGCCTACAATAGGCACATGAGTAAAAGAACTGGACCATGGAGCAATGGAAGAAGGTGGCCTGGTCTGATAAATCACATTTTCTTTTACATCATGTGGATGGCTGGGTGCGTGTGTGTCACTTACCTGGAGAAGAGATGGCACCAGGATGCACTACGGGAAGAAGGCAAGTCGGCGGAGGCGGAGAGTGTGATGCTCTGGGCAATGTTCTTCTGGCAAACCTTGGGTCCTGGCTTTCATGTGGATGTTACTTTGACACCTACCACCTACCTAAACATTGCTGCAGACCAGGTACACCCCTTCATGGCAACAGTATTCCCTAATGGCAGAGGCCTCTTTCAGCAGGATAATATGCCCTGCCACACTGCAAAAATTCTTCAGGAATGGTTTGAGGAACATGACAAAGAGTTCAATGTGTTGACTTGGCCTCCAAATTCCCCAGATCTCACTCCGATCATCTGTGGGATGTGATGGACAAACAAGTCTGTTCCATGGAGGCCCCATCTCACAACTTACAAGACTTAAACAATCTGCTGCTAATGTCTTGCCAGATACCACAGTACACCTTCAGAGGTCTTGTGGAGTCCATCCCTCAATGGGTCAGAACTGTTTTAGCAGCACAAGGGGCACCAACACAATATTAGGCAGGTGCTTTTAATGTTATGGCTGACTAGTGTATGTTGTCGAGTAGATCAGCCAAGATCAAAACAATTATAGAAGCGGCATCAGAATTCCTAGGGATTTCTGGAATCTCAGTACATATGATACATGAGATACTTACTCAGGAACACCATATGCTTCTCAGATAGCCGATTAGCCTGATGGTAATAAGTGTATTACAATGGAATGAAAGAATCCTTATAGCAAATAGTTTTAAAAAGAGTTTTAAAAATTTGTCTTAGATTTAGAACATAAGCCTAGTATAATATGTATTCAAGAATCATGGATTAAGCCAAATCTGCAGTTTGTCTTACCAGGATACGGTTCACTTCAAAAGGATAGAGTGGGGATACAAGGGGAAGGAGTAGTAACATTTATAAATGAAGGAACGTTATACAGGGTACTATAAGAGGTTAAGGAGATAGAATGTGTTATGATAGAAGTATTCTATCAAGGGGGATCACTTTTACAACCCATGTAAAAAGATTTCACTAAATTGTCTTTGACAAGACTAATGGGGAAACAAGGAGTTATGGTGTGGTGATTTTAATGCTCACAGTTGGTTATGGGGCAGTAAAAACATAGACTATATAGGAAATAATAGAGCAATTCATTGTTGACAGATCATTAGTATGCTTAAACACAGGAGAAGGCACTAGATTTAATATAATAGGGAACACGACATCGAGTATAGATCTAATATTAATCACAAACAAGATGGCTGAGTAAATGGAATGTAATCAGGGAGAACACAGTTGGAAGTGATCACTTTCCAATAGTATGTAAATTGTTGTTGTTCTTTCGGCTGCTCCCGTTAGGGGTCGCCACAGCGGATCATTGGTCCGCATATTTGATGTGGCACAGTTTTAATGCTGGATACCCTTCCTGACGCAAGCCTCCCTAATTTTATCCGGCCTTGGGACTGGCATTGAGAGTGCACTGTAGTGTGCAATCCCAGTGGCTGGGTATGGTTCCCTGGCGGGGAGTCGAACCCCGGCTGCAGCAGAGAGAGCGCTTAGGCCTAACCACTAGTCTTCCAGGGAGCGTTCCAATAGTATGTAAATTAAATGTCAATAATTGTAACATTACTGTGACATTACTTACAAAGGAAATGGATGTATGAGAAAGCAGATTGGATTTAATTTAACAATTATTGTCAAATAAATAAAGATAAAGTAACAGAAGAATCAGTAGAAACGTTCTGCAAATCTCTTATGGCATTAGTAACAGATGCTGCGACATTATATATTCCTCAAAGAGCAGTAGGCAAGAAAGTGAAAAACATTCCATAGTGGACAGAAGGGTGCAGTAAAGCAGTTAAAGAAAGGAGCAAGGCATTTAGAAAACTTTAGAAAAATATAAATATGAGCAACTTACTAGAACATAAGAAAGCAAGAGCTAACACAAGAAGAATAATTAAGAATGCTAAAAGAATAGGGTGGAGAAACTTTTGCTCTACAATAGGAAAAGACACCCCTATGGACAAAATATGGAATATGACAAGAAGTATGAGTGGAAAAGGGAAAGAGTAAACTCAAATATCAGTTTTAATTGAGGAGGATACAGTGGCCATAGCAGAAATAGATAAAGCAAATATTCTAGGAAAGGTTTTAGGAGGATCGCACAGCATAGAATTGGGAGAAGAATATGAATTAAGAAGATGAGTTATCTTAGAAAACAATCCAAACTGGTTATTACAGTTTTTTTTAATCGAACATTTGTGGTTCAAGTGGGGTCATGTCAATCATCTGTTTTTAATGCAGTAAATGGAATCTCACAAGGGAGTGTCATAAGCCCAATACTTTTTAATATTATGATCAATGATATTTTTTAAAACTTAGGTCATGGTATAGGGTGTGCATTATATGCTGATGATGGTGCTATATGGAAGAGAGGTCGGAATACAGCCCAAGTGATTTCAAGTATGCAGTCAGCCATTAAGAAGGTGGAAAAATGGAGATTTAAAAAGTCAACCAGTAAATCATGTTACATGTTATATACTAGAAAAAAAAAATCCTGATGGAGTTGGAAGGGGATTTGGGCAGAATATAAATGAATTAGCAGAGAAATTCAGATTACATACATAAGATGCAGCATCGCACCTGTATGGGGAGAAGTGAGCACATGGATAATTCCTGGTGTAAAAATTGACTTAAATATATTGAACAAGAGAAATCAGCATATCCAGGAAAGATTCTATGCAAGTACTCAAGTATATTCAAATGGATCAAAAGGCCCTAAATTAGGGGTTACAGGAGTAGGAATATATATTTCAGATCTGGATATATCTATAACTAAAAGATTAACATCTGCGTTGTCAATGTATGCTGTTGAAATGGTCGCTATCCTTGTAGGTTTGATGTGGGTAGAGGAAATAAGACCAGATAGAGTGGTGATATGTTCTGACTCCGCTTCTGTCTTAACATTGCTATGTACCCATCAATCATCTTGAGAAGACTTGATGAGTGAGATATTTATGTTATTATTGCAAATATAAAGAAAAGGAATAGTAGTAGGATTTTGCTGGGTACCAGTGCATACAAGGATATCGGCAAACGAAACAGCTGATGAGCTAGCACAATTGCTTTAAGAAGGAAGGAAGTGGATATCAATGTAGCCCTTAGGTAAAGGAGAATTCAAAAAAGTATTATTAAGAAAAATATTGGAATATTTGGAATACAGACACCTAAGGGAAGACATCTATATAAAATCAAAAAATCCGTAGATCTATATGTGGTAGAAATAGGAAGGAAGGGGTCATAATAACTAGGTCACTCAGGACTGAATGCATCACTGTTCTTAAGTGGAGTATGTGATAGTGACTTATGTGAGTATTGTGGTGAGAAAGAAACAGTAGAACATGTAATATATGATTGTAAAAGGTGCGGGGAGGAGAGGAAGGAATTAATAACATATTTAAATAAAAAGGGAAAGAAGGATAAGGAGTTAGAATATCAGCTGTGATATGAGTTTAACAGAAATCAAACAGGATACAGAATTCTTTTTCAGTACATATACAGTACAAGGCTAAATGCAAAGATTTAAATCAAAATAAAGTAATGATGCTCTGCTCCACTCTGGAGCCTGAGAGGTTATGTGTGGAGGCTGGAAGAGCTGAACACACAGCGCCAGCCGATACCTAAACCCTGATGGATCGAGAACCGGGGCAGAGCGTCAAGTATTTTTTTATTTATTTATTTTTTGTGAGGAAAGAGTAGACGAGAGGAACAAAGGAAAGAAAATGACCTTTGATAAACCGTGACTGCATAACAGCACAGTAGGTGGCGATATGCACACAGGATGCAACGCGCCAAAAAAAAAAACCAGAAGAAAAAGAAGAAGAAGCAGAAGAAAATCTAGCCGGGAACGTGAATAACCACGCTTACAGTTTAGGCTGTTTTGTAATGAATGCTTTACATATAAATTCTGTTAGACTTTTCTGTATAGAATATTACAGTAGTGGTCGCGAGTGATTCTTATGTTTGCAGCAGTGGAAAAAAGTTTTATCGGTAGCCGGTTACGTAGCCAGCTAGCAAACACTAATGCAAAAACTGGCATTTGGATTAGCTAGCTAGCTAGCCAGCCAGTTGTCAGCTTCTGCAAATGTCAAGTGTAGTATAATATAATTATCTGCATCTCTTCTTTATTTAATTCCTATTTTCTATTATATAGTTGCCGTGTAACCCCATTCTTTTTTTACACGCACGTTTACTTGGTGCCCGCGCGATGCCTACACTTCCTCATAACAATTTAAAAGAGCAGCTCGAGCGGCACAGCAGCGCAGCCGCACGAAGCAAGTCTTTGGCCAGATCAAAGCCTGGGTAAGTTTATTTGGGATAGTTGCTGGCCTATAAACTTGTCTTAACCTTAGTATCTTAGTATGCTTTTCACTGTGTGGGCTGTGCATAGGTACCAAGGTATAAACTTACCGTCCACATTCTTAGGAACACTTATACACCTGCACATTCATGCAGTTATCTAATCATGTGGCAGCAGCTCAATGCAAAAAAAAATCATACAGATGCAGGTCAAGAGCTTCAGTTAATGTTTATCAAACATTAGAACAAAAAAAAATGTGATCTCTCTGATCGTGGCATGGATGTTGCCTAGCGAACATGCCCCTTTGGAGCCCATATGCGGCCACTGCGGGCAAAAAATTGGGGCCCATTGTGGGCCCACAACATGCCCACAGACCACTTTGGGCTGGGTGTGAGCTGTTCCACTGGGGCCCCACCTGGGCGCCATAGTGTGGGGCCCACACGTGCCCCACATGGCCCCCAAAGCCTGTGTGGGGCCACTGCGGGCCCCTGTGGGCACAGAGCTGGGCTCGCAGCATGTCCTGTGGGCATGCTCTGTGGGTCCTTAACAAATAACAAAATTAGTTTGGTCCTACTTTGTACCTGCAGTACACCACAACATTACTAATAATTCATATGCAGAATAATTGCACTTGTTGAAAGTAGCAGTAATAAAATAAGATTAACTAAAACTATGTTTTGAATACTTAGATTTATTCACAGACAGGTTAAAAGAAAAAAATTAAGAAAATATAGAAAATTGAGTACAAAACTGAGCATGTGGTTTGAATACTGAATGCTTTTTAATAAACAGAACCACCTAACCACTTTTTATAAAATAGAACGAACTTAGAACCACATTAGAACAATAGAATAAGTGTGAATCAATCCCCTCAGGGGCACCAGTGGATATCTGCAACGAGAAGGAAAGAGACAAACAGAGACAGAGAAAAATGTAACATAAAAACATGAGTGCTGATTAATTACAGTTCATTTACAGTTACGTATTTTATTTCATTTGTGTAACGGAATTTGTATACTTGTGCAACTAATGCAACAATATCAGATTTGTTACAGTGATACATGAAAGCCTAAAACCAATGCTTACGAGTAATTGTCAGCCTTCTTGATAAGTCGGGTGTAGAAGAGGCTGTTGGAGTTGATGGAACTTGTGGAGCTGGTGGGAGCGGTACGAGGTTTGATTATGTCGTTTTCTTCAGAAGACTGGCACTCTGGGTAACATGAGTTTGGTGTAGTGTAAATAAAAATATATAAAATATTGTAGACAAAATTTCACAATAATGTAATATCTTTTTATACATGTGTATGTTAGTGATTGTAAAAGTATGCAAGCACAATATTAATTAGTTTTAGACAGAGAGAGAATGTACATTTACTTTAAGTACAATTTTGAGGTACTTTACTTGAGTATTTTCCTTTTATGCTACCTCTGCTTCACTACATTTCAGAGAGAAATATTGTACTTTTTACTCAACTACTGTGTTTGTTTAACAGCTGTAACACCTGAAACACTGCATCGGTCATATATAAAGGTGCAGGGCCCTGACGCAGATGTCATGACTGCCAGCCATTCAGGGCTGGTGTAATAGAACAAGTACTTCTGTGAATATGTGAAGGGGTGTATCCCCATGAGACATCTCATTCATGCTACTCAGACAACTACTTACAACTGTCTCCACCTGGACACAACATTCACAATAGTCCAACAGTGATGCAATAGTAATAATAATCCGATAATATAATATAATTTTGAATGCAAGACTTTAACTTTTTCCTTGTTTTTACAATGTTGCATTATTACTTTTACATAAGTGCAAAATAATTAATACAAAAACAAACAAACAAAAGAACAACTCATTGCCTTATTTGATTATACATACATTTTACTCCTTTTTTCCTGGCAGCTTGACTCTTCTGTTTGGTCAGAAACCATAGAATATCTCTTTCGTCCTTTCTCTTCATGTTTTCTATCTCTGTCGAACATTGTGGTTAACACAAAAATGCTAATTTTGAAAGCAAGCTTCACTGATTAGCGTTAGTGCTTTGCTGAGTTCCATTCAAGTCAGAACTCCGTATTGAAGTCTCCGTGCACTTCCCATGAGACTTATATGGGATGCAGCATTAGTTTTATTTACAACAATTAATGACTGTGGCTGAGTGGTATGACCAAACTTTATAGGTTTTATGTGTCAGCTGCTGTGTAAGCAATGTTGGATGGTAGCTAG